ACCAGATATGCAATACATCACCACGATGACACAACAACCCCGAAAACATCGATCACTACAGGCAGGGTTAGCCCGGGCCAACCGAGCCGGAACCCAGTACCAACGAAACAAAACCTTATAGGCTGCCTCCAGTGTGGTCGTATTAAATGAGCATTTAGCTATGAGTGACCAGGCCTTATTCCAGTCCTCCGGATCCACAGCCACTCCCAGGTCGCGCTCCCACTGAACAACATATGAAAGAGAAGTATATGCGATGAGCGTCTGTTCAGAGCTGCATAAAGAAGGGATATAAGGCCCGGAGCGCCCGGACGCTGTTGGCAAAGCTGTTAGTATATGTCAGGTTTTCAACACAAGTGAGTGGTACACTTTTTTTTTTTTACTTGTTTGGGTGCTGAACAGCGATTGTGATTTACTGTTCCTCTCTCCCAATGCAAGTCTGCTCACACTAACTCTAAACAATAGACTTTTTACTATGGTATGCCACCTGATTTTATCTCAAAAGGAGATTAATCAGGAGCAATGGCCACTTTTCCTGAATTGCAGGCAAAAACAGTGCAGAATCTAGAAAACTACTGTATGTATGTAATATCCCCATTAAAATAAGGTATACAAATCATGGGAAAATATATGAAAATCGTATGAAAAGTTACTTTTGGGTAAAGGTTACAAAACCAACCCAAAGAAAAGACCCAATAAACATACACTGTAAAGGCAAGGAAACAAGCAGATAAAATGATCAGCCAACTGCATATTCTGTTATAGTCGGCAGAGGTAACACTGTAACTGTGCTTTAAATAAATAGATTTTAGCTTTAATGTGATGCTATAAAAGCACTTTTATTCCAGTTATGCAATTGTTAAAATTATTAAGTGTACTTTTATACCTTTGAATAAAAAACATCACCCAAGTGACCGGTCCTCATTTTCACTACAAACACATGGCTAAAAGCATTATCACAAAGGTATAGGCTTCCATTCTAGGAGGACAGGCCCCGGAGTCACACATTGGATGGGAAAATGACCTAGGAGCCAGAACACTGAAAGGAAATATGGTAGACCATTGCGTGCTGTTTCTAGAAACGTAACGGTGCAATTGAGTCTAATTATAAACTACTAATCGGGTTGTATACAGTCCCCCAGCGTTTGTTGAAATTTAGGCCTGCAACTTCTGACCGTTGCTTTCAGGGATGCCAGTTACCAGGAACCCTTTTGCAAAGTTGGTGGGAGTGCATTATAATTAAAAGTTTTGGACTAACATTTATCAGTTAGTATAACTATTAGTAGAGAAGGCAGCCAAAAATCGCCAAAGAAGTGCTGCTAAACCTAAAGCAACCTTATTGCAACAAAAATCAATCTGGCCTACTGACATTTCTTTTTACTGAGGTGAAACAGACATTGGCAAAAGAATGGTGGTCCTCTATCCCAACCATAGCAAAAGTGAAACACAAAATGTTGTGGTACCCAATTCATGAAAAAATAGCTATTCTCAATGAGAAGACTTGGACATTTGAGAAGGTTTAGTCTCCATGAATAGAATATTATCTTCCAAAAGATTTAGATACTTTTGTAACCTGGCTTACAAGGAAGAATGATACTGGTATGTCCCCTGGCATCCTCCTCTCTCCTCCATTCTTCTTACTCTATTCCTTTTTACCTCTACTCTAGCTTACTGTCGGCACGCAAAACTTTGTTTCACACAGTTTAAAGTGTTACTAAACCCATCTTGTACATCATCCAGCCATCATCCAAGATGGATGCCAGCACATGGAGTAGCATAACCTCTTGGAAAAGATATCGGTGTACAGTGGAGGAGCAGTGCTTTTTTGGTAGAGCCGTGATCATTTTCTGCCATCTAGTGGATTTCTTCTGCCTAGCTCTGTACCATGGTGTGGACCTTCAGTGACCAAGGGAATACATCTACCCTCCCCATGCTGATGACTACTTTATGAACTCCATCCTTCCTACACTGCACTATTAATGTGCACTTCTGGTTAGTGTGCATTGTTACCCTAGGTCACCACAGTTGGGACTTTTTTTGATCACTTTTTATTGTGTCACATTTATTTAATATCTAGCGCTGCACTTTTATTTTATTTTCATGTGAGGATTTTTTGGTTATCCTGTGTGCCTTAGCTGCTTGTTTATTGAAAGCGCTCACTTACTTATTCTGTTTTATAATATATGAGATAGACTCATTACATGCAAAGCAATATAGTTCAAGCCGTGATTTGTCATAATTGTGATGATTATGGCTTACAGATCATGAAAACCCCAAATCCACAATCTCAGAAAATTAGAATATTGAGAAAAGGTGCAATATTCTCGGCTCAAAGTGTCCCACTCTAATCAGCTAATTAAGCCATAATACCTGCAAAGGGTTCCTGAGCCTTCAAATGGTCTCTCAGTCTGGTTCAGTAGGAATCACAATCATGGGAAAGACTGCTGACCTGACAGTTGTGCAGAAAACCATCATTGACACCCTCCATAAGGAGAAAAAGCCTCAAAAGGTAATTGGAAAAGAAGTTGGATGTTCCCAAAGTGCTGTATCAAAGCACATTAATAGAAAGTTATGTGGAAGGGAAAAGTGTGGAAGAAAAAGGTGCACAAGCAGCAGGGATGACCGCAGCCTGGAGAGGATTGTCAGGAAAAGGCCATTCAAAAGTGTTGGGGACTTTCACAAGGAGTGGACTGAGGCTGGAGTCAGTGCATCAAGAGCCACCACACACAGACAGATCCTGGACATGGGCTTCAAATGTCGTACTCCTCTCGTCAAGCCGCTCCTGAACAACAAACGTCGTCAAAAGCGTCTTACCTGGGCTAAAGAAAAACAGACCTGGTCTGTTGCTCAGTGGTCCAAAGTCCTCTTTTCTGATGAGAGCAACTTTTGCATCTCATTTGGAAACCAAGGACCCAGAGTATGGAGGAAGAATGGAGAGGCACACACTGCAAGATGCTTGAAGTCCATTGTGAAGTTTCCACAGTCTGTGTTGATTTGGGGAGCCATGTCATCTGCTGGTGTTGGTCCACTGTGCTTCATTAAGTCCAGGGTCAACGCAGCCGTCTACCAGGAAATTTTGGAGCACTTCATGCTTCCTTCCGCAGACGAGCTTTATGGGGCTGTGACTTCATTTTCCAGCAGGACTTGGCACCTGCCTACACTGCCAAAAGCACCAAAACCTGTTTTAATGACCGTGGGATTACTGTGCTTGATTGGCCAGCAAACTCGCCTGACCTGAACCCCATAGAGAATCTATGGGGCATTACCAAGAGAAAGATGAGAGACATGAGACCGAACAATGTAGAAGAGCTGAAGGCCGCTATTGAAGCATCCTGGTCTTCCATAACACCTCAGCAGTGCCACAGGCTGATAGCTTCTATGCCACGCCACATTGAGGCAGTAATTTCTGCAAAAGGGGCCCAAACCAAGTACTGAGTACATATGCATGCTTATACTTTTCAGACGTCCGATATTGTTCTATGTACAATCCTTGTTTTATTGATTGCATGTAATATTCAAATTTTCTGAGATTGTGGATTTGGGGTTTTCATGAGCTGTAAGCCATAATCATCACAATTATGACAAATCACGGCTTGAACTATTTGCTTTGCATGTAATGAGTCTATCTCATATATTAGTTTCACCTTTTAAGTTGCATTACTGAAATAAATTAACTTTTGCACGATATTCTAATTTTTTGAGTTTCACCTGTATCTTATCAGGTGATAAGAGGGGTACACTGGAAGAATGGGAGGATCTCAGGATCAAACAGCATTTTTACACAATGCAGAGGATTAACCCCTTAGGTTTAACAGTGAGTATAACAAGCATGCATTACTGCATACACAGACTGATTTTACTGTGAATTTAGTAGGCCGTTTACATGGTGGCCTGATTATAATGGATAAGCACAGTGACCCCCCTCCCTAATATAAATCTGAGAGATAACACCCTGAAATTTATGTTATATGTGCAGGAAATCAAAAATGTGTAACTACAGATAGTATGATATACTAAATCCTATGACCCTAATAGTGTAATACATGGCCATCTTTCTTATTTACTTTACTTTCTTACTTAGTGGATCCTCTTGAAAAGCAACCCCCCCCACCCAAAAACAGATTTCAAAACCATCCAAATATACTGCTGAATTGAGATGTATTTTACTATGACCACTGAACCACATTGTAAACATATAATCACAATGTACACTTGCTGTTGAACGTCAATAAAAAATTATTGAAACAGAAAAATCACCCGGTGTGCTTTTAATTCTATCTATTGTTAATATATGAATTTGTCCATTAGCTTCCTGTAGTCTTCTGCATATCAGTGCCCACAATCCAATTAGACTTTACTGATTTAAGGGCCAGTTTACACCGCAAAAACGCACTCCAGATGCATTCCGGATACATTTTTTGCTTACAGTTCACACCACACTCCGTTCCGGTGCAGTTTGCTATGTTCCAGTACAGTTCTGTGCAGAAAAAGTTCAGCATGTTCTACTATTTTTCTGCATCAGAAACTGACTGCACTGGTGTGAACTAGAGCCATTGGAATACATGGAAAACACTGCATGCATTTTTGATGCAGAAAAAAAATGCACTGGACTGCATCTAGTGTGAACTAGCCCTAAAGACGTAAAGCCAAAGCATTTTGGCTGTACTTCTGTAGGTCTCAGCAGTGCAATTTGTTCTACATTCCTGTGACCTGTTTTCAGGTTGGAGTGGAGAGGGAAAACTGAGTGATCAGCGGTGTTTGATTCCCAAGTTCTCACTGCAGAGCTGGTGGGGGACAGATGTAGCATTGGATCGATGCTGCATCCACCTAGGTGAGTATAAATGTGTTTTTTTGTTTATGAAGTCTATGCTTCTCTTTTAAATTTCTTTACTGCTGTCACTCTAACACTTGGAGCTTGTTTATAGGAGGATATACAATTTTGAATATCAGTCAGTGTGAACGGCACTGAGGGTATACCAGCAGCAAAAATAATTTCTGAATAATCAGGGGTGTGTATTATGGAATTCCAGATAAATTGACTTGATAAAACTTGAAGTGAGCAAAGAATTTAACATAGCAGGGAAATCTGGTATAAGCAATTCCATAAAAAAAAAAGTGAGGAGTAGATAAGCCTGTGTCTTTGGGAGCAACATAGGTGCTACATTTACCATTGTTATTCCAGGCAACATTGTACTTTTCATGTAATTACTTACTTCAGCCTCCTTTTGCTGCAGAATCATGTCCTTGTCTAGCACTTCTTCTTCAACAGGCCTAAACCAAAAAAGAACAAAAAAAAATTAAATGTACATATTTAACAAAAAAACTGTGACTAGCAATGAACTTCAAACATAAAAAAAAGCTTCATATTCACTTACTTGCCAGTACGTTTTAATCTCTCAGAGCGGAAGTTTTCATAGTGCAAATCCTGTGTGACCTCTTGAAGGTCCTGCATGTGTGTCCTGTGGAGACAAAAACATCACAGCTTTCAAACACTGACCAATGAATTATAAAAGATAAAGGAGCAATGTAATGACCATACTTGTTTAGCATGAAAGAATGGCTTCCTGCTGGGAGGAACAATTGCACAGTAGGGGTTAGGGTTGAGAGGCTGGACAGAGTTCCTTTGTCAATATGTATATAAACAAGTGCTAAAATAACTGCAAAAGATATATAAAGAGTATACACAGGCTGACTGGAATTACGTGACTGCAATAAAAACTGCATGCTAGAGAATTCCAATAAATAAATAAAAATAAGTGTAAAGTCTTCCATACACAGTTTGAATTGCGGGTGATTTACGCTAAAATTTCAGTTCCAGGTACCCCTTTCAGTACCACCTGGCTGTATTACTCCGACCGCTGAAGCTGGCACCATTTTATCAACCACAGGAGAAATAGGCTGGGCAATACTGAGCATGCGCAGGTTTGAGTCACCTGCTAAAAACGTGAAAATTCAGTAAGAGAAATGTTTTAGAGGACTTTACTACAAAGGATGGTATGTATGAATGTTGCACTTTAATACAGAAGAAGTTTCCTTTAGGAGAACTTTCCCAAAACAATTTAAAGGCTATATTCACATTTGAGGATAGTGACGAGTTGCATGTTTTTTTGCACGACAGCCCATTGACTTTTAGGGTCTGCCTGTTGCATAACAAATATGCCAAAAGAAGCTCAATCACCAATTTTGAGCATGTTTGCTCACTGCCATCCCATTAAGAAATAATGGAATCTGCAAACAAGGACAGCTTTTCAGTCACTCAGATGTGAATGCAGCCTAAAGATAACCCTATCAGGATGGCAAGTGTACATTACTGTCCTCAATTTGCACTAAACACACCCAAATACAAACGCAAAGGTGCTAAAGGTAAGTAGATGGAGAAATTATTTTTAATTGTCTACCAAGCAGAACAAAGCAGAGAGAAGAGAAAGATATAAAATGCTAGCCTGCACAAGCACATACACTTCCTTTACAACATCTAGAAAAAAAACCAAACTTACAATTCTGCAAATATAATTTTTTAAATTGAAATACATTAATAACATATTTGAAAGTGCTTAGGAAACCTTCAAATGAGTGGATGGTACTCAATAATAAATTATTATTAGCAGTGAAGTTTAGTGGTCTGTAGGTGTCACTGTAGTTGTTCATGAAACTAATGAGTACACTAACTGGTCACTTTGTTAGGTACACCTTGCTAGTGCCAAGAAAATATTCCCCACACCATTACACCACCACTAGCCTGAACTGTTGATACAAGGCAGGATGGATCCATGCTTTCATGTTGTTTATGTCAAATTCTGACCCTACCATCTGAATGTCGCAGCAACCAGTCTGCCCATTCTCCTGACATCAACAAGGCACTTTCGGCCATACAACTGCCACTCGCTATTTTCTCATATTCTAACTAGTCTGTAAACCCTAGAGATAGTTATGCATGAAAATCCCAGTAGATCAACAGTTTTTTAAATACTCAGACCAGCCCATCTGGCACCAACAACCATGCCATGTTCACTTAAATCCCCTTTCTTCCCCATTCTGATGTGCGGTTTGATTGTCAGCAAGTCGTCCTCACCACGTCTACATGCCTAAATGCAGCGAGTTTCTGCCATGTGATTGGCTGATTAGCAATTTGTGTTACCAAGCAATTAAACAGGTGTACCTAATAAAGTGGCCAAAGAGTGTAAATACATCTGTCTTCCGGGTTCCATTCCCTGCGACGTCTGGACGTACGGGGGACGTAACCGGCGGGAAATTTGAAAATGTCAAAAGGTGACATTCACTAAAATTACATAGTAAAACATTACTGTATCAAAGCATTTCACATACATTTTGTCCCTAGTGCTTTGTCCTCTGCCCTGCCTGCATTGTTACCGTTCTTTCTGCCTGGAAACTGAGAAATGTCCATGGCGTCCAAAAAACGTCCCTTTAGGTCAAAATCGGTTTTAGACCAGCTAGAGAACAGCGATAGCAAATTAGAATCACTTGCAGAATTGAGTGATGATTCGTGGGGAAATTCGTCAGACACTGAAAATGATTCTGTGACTTTGCTCAGTGATGTGCGAACTTTGCGCTCTATTTCAAATTTCAGTGTTTTTGGTTTGATTACATTATTGAATTAAGTTTCTTATTTTTTATGATTATTTATTAAATAATATATGATTTCGTGTTTCAAATTTTATCATACCCAGGATGTTTACTAGACTCTTGTTCGGACAGATTTCAGTGAGTTACTCCTAAAAATTACAGGCCTACAATAAAAAAAAAACGACATATTTCCATGCAAAAAAATGTACTGCTTTGAGCACAGAAATATGGACATAATCAGACCGCTAGGGAGGTTAAAAGAAATCCTACTAAACAGTCCCATCAAAGTTGGCATAAAAGAACCAAACTATTAACTCTATAGCAGATGGTACTGCATATGGGAAATCTTGCATAAACTTTTGACAGCAATGTCTGCTGGGGGGGGGGGGGGGGGGGGGGGGTCACTAAGAAAGAGGAACCTTTCATTATGTATGCTGGACCTGCCCACAAATCCAACTAATTCAATACAAAGTACACTGACTAATTGACAAAATCTCTGGCCACATCCTCATTTTTTACCCGATGATATTCCTATTATATCATACATCCAACCGCCCACAGCATACAAGCACTCCCTCCCTTTCTATCTACTTAACAGCACGAAAACCACATGCCAGATGCAAAAGACTGGTTTTGTCACATAGACTACATAGCAGAAATAGAAGAGTTAATCCATATCAGTAAGAAGAGCACGACTCCTAATATTTTTCCATGGTTAGGGTGCATGATATTCAAACTTACCAACAAATAGAAGCACACTGCAGGCCAAACAGCAACTGCAGTCCCCCTACTTGAAAGGACACTTTAGTTGGATGACCTCCCATCTTTCAGTCAACAAAGTCCTCCAGGAATTTCTAACTGAAATACAACTACACCGCTTGGCCGGAGTCTTTACCCTCTGAGTCTCATGCTGGATGACTTCAGGTGACTCCACTGCCACTTACATCCTCCTTAGGACTTCTTTCTCCTGCATCTCCCCCCTCCAACTACGAGACCCCAAACCATACCACCTTATGCTATTACCCTACAGAACTTTCAGCAGTATACAATTACAGACTTTAGGACTCTTCTTTAAGGAGTTATGTCATGAACCAAAAACACTTGTATAGGATTAGTGCCAGCAGTAATTTCCCAACCAATGTGCATATTCATTCCAGAATAAAGAGTCATCAGTGTCTAAGAACTTCAATTGTGGCATATGAGTCAATTAATGGCAGTTTCCATTAAACCTCCATAACACAGGTGCTTCCTGGCAGATTAACGAAGCCATAGCAATCATTATGTTTAGCAATGGCAGCTATAAATAATGATTACTGCTACAAATGCCACATGAATTATTGCTCAGTTATTTTAGCCCAAGGGTGTCCAAGCTTTTGACTTTCCTGGGCCACACTGGAAGAATAGGAATAGTCTTGAGCCACACATAATTTACACGAACAATAAGGATAGATGATGAGAAGAAAAAGTCAGGCAGTTTAAAAGCTAACAATCACTGATATAGATAATGTAACCTGAGTAATACAACTTCAAAACTTTTTTGTAATATATTATAAAAGTAAAAGAGGGCAACATGAAAACTAGTGTGATATTTGACTCTGCGGGGGAGATTTACTAAAGCTGGTTCACTCAGAATCTCACGCACCTGCGTATGGTAGCCAATCAGCTTCTAACCTCAGCTTGTTAATTAAGCTTTAGCAATAAAATCTGTAAGCTGATTGATTTCCATGCAGAAGTGCACGAGATTCTGAATGAACCAGCTTTAGTAAATAAACCCCTGTTTTTGATAAACACATCAATATCTGGTTTCATGAATGTTGGAGCAATTTGCCATGAATTCTCAAGGTGCTCATCAGAAATTTTGGTTCTAATTTTGCCCTTCATAAGCTCTATCCTTGAAAATAGTTGCTCACAAATATAGATGCTGCTGGAAACTGATGACATGAATTAGGCCTGATGGTGAAGAGTGCAATATTTCTCTTTGGGAAGATAAAACTTACAAAAGGCCAGTAAAGAGCCAGTGTAAAATGTTTGTTTGGTCGCTAAGTGTATACACATTTCTACAAAAAAATTAAAAAACAAAAAAGGCATTTTTAAGTAAGCTTACAATTTTGTGTTGGGCCGCAGGTTGGACACACTTGATGTAGCCTATTATCCTTTACCTGTAAAGTTTTGATGCATAACTGGGTGAAAATATGACTTTTTTTTTAAATTCAAACTTTTCATATACATGTATCTTACATCCACAGTTCAGCATACATCTGTTATGGTACAAAAAGGTTTGAGTAGAAAAGCAATAGTGGCAAGAGGATTAGGGTGACTGTATGAAGATATTAAGTGTTAAGGTTTAGATCGGGGATAGTGTTGAAATGCATGAGCAGAAAATTTTATTTTTGTACTCATCACAAAAATCTTGCTCTTGGTACAAAAGTGAGGCATGCTGGTAGATGGAGGGATTATCCTGGGCTGACGTACAGTTTTTTATTTTGGCAGTGTCTAGTCTTCCTGTAGGCTCAGTGTAACCTGAAGGTTAAAGTGGTTCTAAAAGCAAGATTTTTTTTTTTACCTTATTGCTTTTCCTTTTCGTTCACTGAGGAACACAGACAGAGAAGTCTTTGAACTTTGGAATGTTGAAAAGTAGTCCAACTAAGAACTGGACAACACAGAAATCATCGCTATCAGGCCCAAAGAAAGAGCAAAAAACTGAAGACATGATGGATGTTGCAAATGAAGTGAAATTGGGCACAGAGAACTGTGTTAAAGGAGGCTACTATCAATTCCAAGATTCTCAAACAGAAGTGGAGAGTAGAATGACTCCTGGACTGAAGTGTCCAGAACAAGATCCAGATACTCCAACTGATGAGCTCCAGTGACTATT